TTTTCCTCATTCGCTCTCTTCCCCCTCTCTCCTGGGTCAGGTACAGTGTAGATGTTAGTGTTTATCAATAATGAAGAGATGAGAGGAGGAGGAGGAGAGCACACGGCTTTCGTTCTTACCGGGGGATGAATTATTCACCCAGTGGAGAAGAGTGCCTCTCCACCCTGTGTGTGTAGGATCGTGGTGTGTGTCTGTGACTGCCTGTCTAAACGTGGTTATATGCTTTACCTAGCAGTTGTACGTGTGGAAATGTGTTTTGTCTCCCCGCGACCACACACAAACCATTTTGACTACTTTGCAAATCATTTTGATCTTTTATGCATGGTTTCTCCTCAGCTCGGCAGTTGTTTAAATGATTAAGCGCGTAATGTATGTTGTTAGTTGTAAGTTTCATCCTGTTGCAAGGTGCGATACGCTGCAGTAAAAACAAAAGAAACCACCATGTATGTTTGATGGATCACTCCTGGTTTTCCAATTTCATTCATTCAAACATGATTCCCTTTTCAGACCCATTCGACCACCAGAGCTTGCTGAAATATTCTGTTTGTGGTATGTACAGAACTGAGGATGGAAAATGGAGGATGAGCGAGTGGGAAAGGTCCACAGAGAGATGTATGCATGGACTATTGTGTGTGTAATTTCATGTCAGGGCCCCTGCAGTGAAATGGCTGGGAGATCCCATTGTGAATTCCTCTACTTTGCCAGTTTCCTCTTATACTCAAACTCATGCATACTGTATAGACTAGTCTCACGGCAAGACTAAGGTCACGGTCCGGCATTGGATGCAGGAGGTTCTGGCATTTGGAGCTAAAGGTTTGGAGAGTAGGAAAGTGTGCTTTCTAAGGCTTTCTAAACTTCCCTGCTGGGCCTTTTTTTCATTAAGATGATACACTTAATTGAATTGGCAAATGCTTATTTTTGCAAATGATATTCGCTCGAGTCCTAAGGCATGTTTGTTATAAACAGTCAACTAAATAGGAATATGCATCAGTGTACAGATGCATGTGTAAACACACATACACACACTCACCAAACACACACATCCCAGTGCAGATTTCTCCTCCAGCTGTTCATTTCTCCTTGGCACTTTGAAGCCTGTTCATGTCTCCCTGTGTCCCTCCCTCCAAACCCCTATTTCTCCTTCGCTCCCCTTCTGTTACATTTCATGCGTTTCTGCCCCCCTTCCTCATTTCTTCCTGTGTGTCTGACTCCCCCTCTCTTTCCACAGAGTCAGTTATCAAATATTTCATCATGTCACTGTGAACAAAGTGAAATGTAGCACTCCCTTCTTCTTGCACCTTTTTTTCCTCTGCTCCTGTTGCATCAGAGGTTGGTTTTTACCTCCTGCCTCCTGCATGCAACCTCGCTGTAACACCAAACTCCTTTTTACAACCGGTTTTTCTTTGTTACATTTCCAAGTTAATTGAACATCTTTGGTGACTCTTGAGTGGAGATCTCATGTGATAGCCTTGAAGTCTTTGAAGTGCGCTTCTTTATCAAACATTGGCGCTTTTGACTCGATTGCTCCCACTAGTAAAGCACACAGCATGGATGGATTATAAGAGGATGTCATCGGAGAAGTCCATAATGAGCAGTGGCTACTTCTAAATGTAGCTTTCCCATGTGTTATCGATCAGTCCCTTATAGAGCACAGTAGAAAGGTCAATGAGAAGACGAGACACATCTCAAGTCTTCATTTCCTAGTTTTATTCTTGGCTTGTCAAACTGCCTCGCCTGTCAAAGCTAAGCTGCATTCCCAGTCCGCTCCCTGCATACCAAAGTAGCCACATGTAAATGTGTGTGCGCATGCACAGCCTATGCACCTTCACTGTAGGTTTGTGTGGCTATATGTGTGCCCGCATTCGTGTGTGTGTGTG